AGCCCGGCGCTGACCGCCGCCGCCATGGCTGACCCGGGCCCGCGCTGGTGCGCATGCGCGGCCCCGCCCCCGCGGGGCGCCCTACCCCTCCGGTGGTGCCCGGGGCGGGTGGCGGGACAGGGCGTCTCCACATCCTTCCAGTACGTTTAATGGGTTAAAACCACTTATTACTTATTAAAGTACAATATGCTGAGGGACCGAAGCGGAGGAGCCCTGCACCTGCAAGGCGAGAGGGAAAAGAGAGTCCGGGCAGGGCCCTGCCGGCACGGGATGGGCAGCGAGGGCTACTGGGCTCACCCCAGGGCTAGCCAGGCACCGCAGCTCCCCGCCACCACCAGCGGCACGCTCCCGGGTTTAGGCTGCCAAACCTAAGAGCTAGGTTTGCAAAGTAGAGACCACGGAGTTAGGAGTAAAACATCCAAAAAGTTAAAAAAAAAAAGAAAGAAGACAGTACAGTCCATCCTCATGCGTCACACAGCCAGGAGCAGCTCCAACTGATCAAGTGCTGCAGAATGTTCCCTGATTTCTGCCTGGAAGGAGGCGTGCTTCTCCAGGGACTGCTGTCTCCCTTCTCCGGCCGATCGCCACTTGGCCATCGCTTCCTGGGGAGAGAAGTGAGGGCGCGCAGCGTTTTACTAACAAAGTACTGAAAAGCAAAGCCAGGCTCTAAAGCAGCTCCAACTCAAGTGTCTGAGCTCCTTCAGCAGTGTCTAACCTGCTGAACTGAGATTAGCCTTGCCTGACTGGGATGTCTCTGACAGTTCCTTGTGGAAAATGGCAATTAAAAGATAAATTGCCATTTAATTATAATTTCCCAAAATTTAGGAAGTCTGCTAAAAAAGCAATTTCATCGATTAGCTCTGAAGCTTCTCACCAAGAATTGCAGAGGTGTAATTTAATGACCGCTTGGGTTGGTATATTGACAATATTACTGAAGCTGCTTGTGCATGTGTACTTCTTAGTTCCCAAAGACTGCCTGAGCCCGCTGGCCTGCAACAGCCTCCAAGTTAGACCAAATCTGAATTCCAGTGTTAACAGCCAGACTGGTAGATCAGCATCCTGCCAGTGGTGCTTACAACCTTCCGCAACACAGGCTTGAAAACCCTCTCCTGAGAGGAGCTGCTCTGAGCAGAGCACATTCCCAGCACTGCTCCCATCTGTACTTTGGAACTGATTCAGCCCAACTTGAAAGCTATCAGTCATTTCTATCACTTTCACCTTCTGCCTTGTTTCAAGTTCAACTGTATGTGATTCAACTTGAAATGGCCATGATGAGAACTGACATTGCTCCATCATAAACTTTGCTTTAAGCCCTTTATGTAGAAGGGGAGTAACACATTGTTTTCTTAATGCACATAAAACAAAAGGTGAGTAATACTGCAGGCTTTCATCCTCTAGTTCATTTGGAGAAGTGAGCAGCCCTGGGAGAAGCAAAATAACCTTCAGAATCTCACTCAGTAACTGGTTGAGCTGAAACAAAGTGCCAGCCTTACCTGAAGCACCTCCTTTTCTTTTGCAGTTGTTTGATTAAATTGCCTCAATTCTTCTATGAGCTTCTCAGTTAACAGCTGAAGAGCCAAAAGGAAGAGTTTAAACACAATGCCAATAAATGTAAGTCTCAGCAGCTGTTTCCACAACATCGGTAGGAAAGGGCAGTAGCACACAGACCTCTCAAAGCCTGTGTAAGTCCTATTGCTATTTCAAAATTTTCTTACCGCTGTCTGCTTTTGGCATTCTTGTGTTTTTTCTTCCTCCTCCAAAATGTTGCCACCTGTAACTAATTTACGAGATGCATTAGTGAACCTCTAATATACAGATAAATTTGCATGTAAGAACCAACAGGTTTGCAAAGTAAATTTCTACACCAAGAAAGACTACATTATTCTTAAAGTTTATCCAGGACAAGGCCTACTACAGGAAGTAGCTTTTTCTCTTAAGCTAGAAAAAAAAAATCCTCCGGAGTTACAGCAGTATTTCCTTAGCGAGGAAGCAGAATCCAAATGTCTTATGAACAGTCACAACAGGAGGAAGAAAAAAAGAGTTCTGAAGAAAGAGTACCAGAACAGTACGTGAAGTGCATAAGTCCTTACCAGGATCAATGTTTCTGCTTTCTAAAATCACCATGCAAGTCTCCTGAAATTTCTTGAGCTTCTCAATTTCTTGTACCAGGGCTTCATTCTCCTCCTTCAACTCCTTTATAGTGCCCTGTCATTAACAGAGGTTGAGAGTGAACTAATATTTTGTTCCCATTAGTCAGCAATACTGAGTGTGATTCTCATGGCTAACAAGTGCTCCACTAGCACCAAGAACCAGATCTTGCCCTTCTGTCTCTACCACTGCAGGTAATTACTCTGTTGCAGACCCTTACTCCTGCTTCTTGGCAGGATTAGCACATTTATCACATCCACATGTCACATCAATTCTTCCACACACTGGAAGAATTTGATCCTAAATTTCTTTTAACCAACCGTAGCATATCTTCTCTTGTGCTCCCTCTCATACATATAAATAATTCAAAGACTTTGCAGCATTAAAGAGCATATAAATATTGGGAAGGGCATCTTCAAATCTTCAAGCCACAGCATTATTCCCTACACAGTTCAGATATTGCCAAGCAATCGGATAAGCTGATCAACCTCCAGTTGAATGCAATTCTCCAAGAGAATCAATAAGCATCTGGATTAGGGTGATCCAGCTGATGGTGGCAGAAGCTTTTTATACATTTCACAGGTGGTCTTAAAGGCTCATAAAGAAATCAAGCTGTGAGATAAGAGGAACAATCATCTCACCAATTAGTAACTGGCTGAGAACTAGGAAATCAAGTGAGGTTTTACAGTTGAAGGCTGCCAGTAGGGCCTCTGGCACGTGACAGAAATTGTGCTAAGCGTGTCCTAGAGCGATGAGTAGGAGGTGGTAAATAACAAGGTGGCAATTCTGAATCTCAACTTAATTCAAGAAAGTCCTATTCGTTGGAAACAGAATCCACTGAACAGTCCCAGCTCTCTCAGCCTCTCCTCCAGTCCTTACCTGTGCTCCTGTTAGTCTGGAGTGTAGCTGTTGTTTGGCTGTTTCTAACAGCTGGTTCTTGGTCTTCAGCTCTGCTTCTAGTCTGTATCTGCTGAAAGGTCTGCAGAGCCAAACATTAAAAATTTAGGGGCAAAAATATCAGTATTGCACACCTTCTCTTTTACTTCCACAAACACGCTCTTTTCTGAAGCATTTGTTCTTGTTTCTGACAAGAGCTTTAATCAGCAAACTTGGCAAGAAAGCTGTACAGTGGTGAGAGCTCATCATAACTCTCCAAGAGGGAGCATTACTGCATGAGGGCAACTAACAGATATTTGAGGAAACATACCCTTTTGTAGCTGTCTTCTTTGAAGGGGGTTCTGCTTTCTTGGCAGATTTAGGCAACCTTAAAAGATGGGTAAAATACAATTAGCAGAAGACCACTGAATTCTTGAAGATTACCAAGGCAATTAGATTGGCAAAATATGCAAAATGCCAAGACATCTTTAGGACATTTGCTAATTAATAAACCCATCAATATTTTCCTTTCATTTACCCTTGGTTTGTAGCTTTGAAGACACCATCTGCTGGAATGTTTGAGCTAAAGTTAGAAATAGGATCTTTGTTGGAATCAAGATCTGCTGTTTTGCTGACACATTGTTTCTTTGAAGGAAAAGCCATTTGTATTTCTGCAAGAAAAAGACAACAATGAAAACACTACAATATGCATAACAACTGGATTTTAAACCTTCAATTTGATGTAAACCACAATTGTATCTGGCTAGAATGGAGGCTTTAAGGTAGTGACAACTAAGGGCAGTCTTCAAACTTCAGCCAGGATTAAGGGTCTGGAACAAGCCACTAATAACTCAGGTGGTAGACTGTTAAAACGTAGTTAGCAGGCTTGCACTAATGACAGGAAGTTTGAAAGGGATAATGCCAGTGTGGTAATAAATGAGGTCTCAACATGAAGCAGACAGCATGCCACAGGGTTCCAAGCAAAGCTGTTCAGGACTGGAAGCAAAACAAAACATAGCCCACAGGGAACTCTCAGTTAAGAGAGCAGCATGCCTCAATTCACTAGAAATAGATACACTTCTAAAATAACACTATAGAGAACTAACTTTTCATGTAAAGTTTATTTGGCTTTAAACCAGAGCTGTTTGAGCACATAAAGCTTTGTTCACATAGTGGGTTTAGGAAGCTTTTTTTTCCATCTCTTCCCTCGCCAAGGTAATTATTTTTCAAACGACGCCCAAAAGCACATTTATAGTAACGTAACATGGGAGTTTCCACTGGTACAGACTAGTTCCCATGTTTTTAACGTGAAGCCTGGGTGCTTCACACTTCTCAAATGCTGCAAGTAGTAACAAAAGACTTATGGAAGCAAGAGCCCCTGAAGGAAAGGATCCGCAACCTCAGCGGGCGGGACACGCACTGGAGCCCGTCTAGCAAAATCCCGTGAGCTGAAGTCTTAACTAGAAACAGAGCAGTCGAATAAAGCCTAAAATTAGACTTTCAACGGCCACCGCAGCCGAAGGCAGTATCGGAGCTCCCCAAGAGGCGCACCACCCCCCCGACAAACGTCCCTTCGCCCCCGCAGCCTCGGCACCCCACGGCGGAGCACGGTAGGGCAGAGCCCGCCTTCCCCCCCTCCCGGAGAGGGCACGCACCTGCGGGCGGGCCGGCGCGGTGGAACGCGCTGTAGACGGGGATGCGGGAAGCCTCCCCCTCCATGGCGGCCGCGCTCCCCTCAGCCGCCGTTTGAATCGAGCCCGCCGCCCAAACGGCCGCGCGGCCCCGCGCATGCGCACAAGCGAGCGGC